ACCTTGTCCTTTCAAAGAGAAACCGTGGAGGCAGTAGTAGAAATTACCTAGTTAGTGTAATTTCGCCTTTGGTTAAAGAGAATGAGATAGTGTAAATAAATAAAAAGGAAGTAAGAAATTTCTGAACCTTCAGAAGTGAGTTACGTACAGGTTTCCCAGGATGGTACCTTCCTCAGATGTCCCTCCTGTCACATGTCCCAGTTTAAATGAGGAAATGTGGCATAAAGGACTATGCCAAGCCAAAGACCAGGGCAATACCATGAGCTGACTTCAACTTTTAGCATCTCCTCTAGAGTCGCCATAATTTCCCCTAATGCTCAGGGTTGCTTGAGAATCTGGTTTTTTCCCCTCCTCCTCCCTCTAACCTGAGAAGTAGCGTAAGGAAATTAGCCTGACTGCATAATATTTCAACAGTCAGCACCCTCAATTCTCCCAATCTGGTGACTGCCTGAGGGCTCATGGGTTTCTTCTGAAAAGGAGAAAAAGGAGTTGTACTCCTTTGATTACTTGAAATGTTGATTAAAACATGCTTATTGCAGTTGAAACATGTAAATAAGAAAGTATCCTATATTCAGTAGCTGTTTACTGTTCCTTCTTTTTTGGTTGTTAGTAAACTTTCTGCTGTGTGCTCAGTCACTTCTTCATGTCTGACTCTTTGCCACCTCATAGACTGTAGCCCACGAGGCTCCTCTGTCCATGGGATTGTCCAGGCAAGAAATACTGGAGTGGATTGCCATGTCCTTCTCCAGGGGATTTTCACCACACAGGGATCAAACCTGAGACTCCTGTGTATCCTGCATTGCAGGCATATTCTTTTACTGTTGAGCCACTGGGAAAGTCCCCATTAATAAATTTTACAACCCTTTAAACAAAATTTTAACCACAGTGGCAGAATACTAGTGGGTTCACTTAAAAATAATAATAAAATCATAGAGAATACTGCTGCAAATTTAGTGTCTTCCTATGATAACTATAAATGTTAATTCACCAAAAAAGATTTTTTGAATTTTGTACTCTGTATAGACATATAGGGGGCTTCCCATGGTAGCTCAGATGGTAAAGAATCTGCCTGCAATGCAAGGGATCCAGGTTCAGTCCTTGAGTTGGAAAGATGTCCTGGAGAAGGGGATAGCTACCCACTCCAGTATTCTTGCCTGGGAAATCCCATGGACAGGAGCACCTGATGGGCTACAGTCCATGGCGTCACAAAGAATCAGACACAACTGAGCGGCTAATACACACACACAGAGTCATTTAGAATTATAAAATGTTTCTGCAGTATTCATTTATTAATTTTAAAAGTTGCTCTGATACTTAGAAATAAGCTTAACCAAAAAGGTGAAATATCAATGTACTGAAAACTACAGAACACTGTTGAGAGAAATGAAAGCAGACACAAATAAATGGAAAGAGAGCCATGTTCATGAGTTGGAAGAATTAATATTGTTAAGATGCCAGTACTACCCAAAGCAATCTACAGATTCAATGCAATTCCTATCAAAATCTCAATAATATTTTTAGAGAATTTTGAAAAAACAATCCTAAAATTCATATGGAATTAAAAAAAAAAACCTGAAAAGCCAAAGCAATTTTGAGCAAGAAGAACAAAGCTGGAGGCAGTGTACTTCCTGATTTCACACTGTATTACAAAGTTATAGCAAGCAAAGCAGTACTAGTATAAAAACAGACATATATACCAGTGGAATAGAATAGAGTGACCAGAAACAAACCCACAAGTATAAGGTCAACCAGTGACCTTCATCTGGGATCCAGGAATACACAAAGGGAAAAGGATAGTTTCTTTAGTATATTGTGCTGGAAAAACTGTATATCCACTTGCAAAAGAACAAAATTGGACTTGTCTTATACCACCCACACATGTGCTGTGTGCTAAGTCGATTCAGTTGTGTCCAATTCTTTGCAACTGTATGGACTGTAGCCTGCCAGACTCCTCTATCTATGGGATTCTCCAGGCAAGAATACTGGAGTGGGTTGCCATGCTCTCCTCCAGGGGATCTTCCTGACCCAGGGATCGAACCCACATCTCCTGTGGCTCATGCATTGCAGGCAGATTCTTTACTGCTGAGCCATGGGGGGTAGCCTCATACCACCCACACAAATCAACTCAAAACAGATTAAATATATATATAAAGAAACCATAAAGCTTGAAACCATAAAGCTCCTAGAAGAAAACATAGGAAGAAGCTTCTTAACATTGGCCTTGGTAGTAATTTCTTGGGGACTTCCGTGGTGGTCCCATGGTTAAGAATCCACCTGCCAAAAAAAAAAAAAAGAATCTACCTGCCAATGCAGGGGACGTGGGTTTGATCCCTGGTCTGGGAAGATCCTTGGGATCATCATCTGGGGAATGCAAATCAAAGTTGCAACAAGATGTTATCTCACACCTGCTGAAATGACTGTTACCAAAAAGCCAAAAGAACACAAGTAAGAGCGTGGAGAAAAGAGAACCCTATACACTATTGGTGACAGTGTAAATTGGTGTAGCCACTATGGAAAACAGTACGTATGCTCTGCAAAAAAAAATTAAAAATAGAACTACCATATGACCCAGGAATCCTTCTTCTGATTCTATATCTAAAAGAATTGAAATCATGGTGTTAAAGAGATATCTCACTCATGTTTGTTGTAGCATGATTCACAACAGTGAAGACAGGAAATAAAATGTCCAAGAATGGGGCTTCCCTGGTGGTCCAGTGGTTAAGAATCCAGCTCCCAACACAGGAGATATGGGTTCGATACCTGCTCCAGGAAGATGCTGCAGACCAACTAAGCCTGGGTGCCACAGCTACTGAGCCCACTCTGGAACTACAGAAGCCCAAATGCCTGGAACCTGTTGTCCCCAGCAAGAGAAGACACCACAGTGAGAAGCCCAGGCACCACAACAAACAGTAGTCCTGGCTCACCTCAACTACAGAAAGTCCATGCACAGAAACGAAGACCCAGCACAGCCAAAACATAAAATAAGTAATTAAATCTTTTTTAAAAAATGTCCAAGAGTAGATAAAGAAGATGTGGTAAATGGGATATTATTCAGCCTTGAAAAAGAGAAACTTTGCTGTTTGTTTGCAAAGATGGGCTCAATAAAGGACAGAAATGGTATGGACCTAACAGAAGCAGAAGATATTAAGAAGAGGTGGCAAGAATACACAGAAGAACTGTACAAAAATGATCTCCATGAATGAACCTGGAGGATATTATGTAAGTGAAATAATCCAGACACAGAAAGATAAATGCTATATAATACCACTTACTTGAAATATCTAAGGTAGTTAAACGCATAGAAGCATACATGGGAAGTGATTGGCAGGAGCTGGAAGAAGTGAGGAACCAGGAGGTATTAGTCAAAGAATACAAAGTCTCAGTTTGACAAGAAAAAAAAATTTCTGTAATTTAGAGTTTCCTAAACATTTTATATGGTATATGTTTAAGATTTGATTAGCCAGAAATTGTCATTCATTTTCAACTAAGTTTTTTTGATAGGGAATAAGGGGTGCAGTGGTAAAGAATCTGCCTGCCAATGCAGGAGATGTAAGAGACTCAGGTTCCATCCCTGGGTTGGGAAGATCCCATGGAGAAGGGAATGGTTACCACTCCAGTATTCTTGCCTGGCAAATTCCATGGACAGGGGAGCCTGGTAGGCTACAGTCCACGGAGTCGCAAAGAGTGAGATACGACTGAGCACACACACTACATTATTAGAAAAGAAAAAATAAGAAGGGAAGTCAGGGAGTTCCCTGGTGGTCAGTGGCTACTCCATGTTCTCAATGCAGGGGACCCAGGTTCGATCCCTTGTCATGAAACTAGATCCCACATGTCGCAACTAAAGATCCCACGTGCCACAACTAACACCTGGTGCAGCCAAAAAAAAGCCCAGATATCAAAATCTGATCCTTTTCCAAAAAAGTAACCTCAGTGTATGCCCTAGGTCAGTATAATCACCTTTTCCTTCTTATTTCATATTCCTGTGTAAAGAGACTTCTCACCCTGCTTATTTAACTTATATGCAGATTACATCATGAGAAACACTGGGCTGGAAGAAGCACAGTGGAATCAAGCTGGAATCAAGATTGCCAGGAGAAATATCAATAACCTCAGATATGCAGATGACACCACCCTTATGGCAGAAAGTGAAGAGGAACTAAAAAGCCTCTTGAAGAAAGTGAAAGAGGAGAGTGAAAAAGTTGGCTTAAAGCTCAACATTCAGAAAACTAAGATCATGGTATCTGGTCCCACCACTTCATGGGGAATAGATGGGGAGACAGTAGAAACAGTGTCAGACTTCGTTTTTTGGGGCTCCAAAATCACTGCAGATGGTGATTGCAGTCATGAAATTAAAAGATGCTTACTCCTTGAAAGGAAAGTTATGACCAACCTAGGTAGCATATTAAAAAGCAGAGACATTACTTTGCCAATAGAGGTCCATCTGGTCAAGTCTATGGTTTTTCCAGTGGTCATGTATGGATGTGAGAGCTGGACTGTGAAGAAAGCTGAGTGCCGAAGAATTGATGCTTTTGAACTGTGGTGTTGGAGAAGACTCTTGAGAGTCCCTTGGACTGCAAGGAGATCCAACCAGTCCATCCTAAAGGAGATCAGTCCTGGGTGTTCATTGGAAGGACTGATGCTGAAGCTGAAACTCCAATACTTTGGCCACCTCATGGGAAGAGTTGACTCATTTGAAAAGACCCTGATGCTGGGAGGGATTGGGGGCAGGAGGAGAAGGGGATGACAGAGGATGAGATGGCTGGATGGCATCACCGACTCGATGGACATGGGTTTCAGTAAACTTCGGGAGCTGGTGATGGACAGGGAGGCCTGGCGTGCTACGATTCATGGGGTCGCAAAGAGTCGGACACGACTGAGCAACTGAACTGAACTGAAAGGGACTTGATTGATTTCACACAAGATCATTAATTCTCAAAGATGCCTCAAAAATAGACCTGAGTTTCTAACTACAGCCCTTAGGAAGTGAAGAAATGTAAATGTTTTCAATGAAGAAAAAAATCCCACGGTGTCACCAAGTCATATTTAAAGCTGTCAATCATCGCTCTCATCAGCCTATCAGCTTCTCCATGGTGAAAAAGGGAGCCACCATTTCTGGCAAATGCGAGCTCTGTCTCCCAAATCCCTCCTCACTGAGACCTGGGGCTGTTTTCATCACTAATTGCTCAGAGCCAGACCGTGGCGGGAAAATCCTGTATCTCTGCCTGGCTGCTCAGTACCACCTTTGTTCCTCATACAGTGGCTCATACCCAAGTCACAACATTTCAAATTTATCTTGTTACTAAATGTTTTACCAGTGAGCCAGTGAAAGGCAAAAAAAAAAAGTGTTAGTCACTCAGTCGTGTCCGACTCTTTGTGACCCGTGGACCATAGCCCACCAGGCTCCTGTGTCCATGGAAGTCTCCCAGCAAGAATACTGGAGAGGGTTGCCATTCCCTTCTCCAGGGGGATCTTCCTGACCGAGGGATCAAACCCAGGTCTCCCGCATTGCAGGCAGATTCTTTACCATCTATACACCAGGGAAGCCCCGTGAACCCATAATGTTTCCTGCCCCCCACTCCCCACACCCTTGCTCCCACGTTTAGATCCTTTTAGCTGTGTTGATTTGCCTGCAGTTGTCTGTCTTCTCAGCAAGCCTCCCGTAAATATCCAGGAAATAATATCTCGGAAATAATCTTTATCTCTCTCACCCCACCAACTTGCATGTGCTATTGGTTGTGTGCCTCGCAGAATGAAACCCTGTGGGCAACACACATTATTAGGTCAGGCATTAGGCAGTTCCCTAAACATTTTCATCCCTTTGGTCCACCAATTTCAAGTTATTTTTTAATTTTGAAAAAAATAAGGGTTTCTTTTTTTTTTGGAAGAGGAGCAGCTCAAATCTGGGCTCCACTTACAAGGAAAAATAAAAAGACAAAGCAAAAGTTTGCCTAAATGGAATGTCGGAGAAGGCAATGGCACCCCACTCCATTACTTTTGCCTGGAAAATCCCATGGATGGAGGAGCCTGGTAGGCTGCAGTCCGTGGGGTCGCACAGATTCGGACACGACTGAAGCAACTTAGCAGCAGCAGCAGCAAATGGAATGTTCTCTTATTTTCACCTTTGCCTACCCTCCCCTGCACATAAATTATGGGATGTTTGTGGGAGATGTTCTCCTTAGCACAATATCTTTTTTTTTTTTTAGGAAAGAAATACTTAATGTATTTTTTAATTTTATGACTATAAAGAGACAATACTTCCTGTATCTCCACTTTCTGAAGCAGTTAGTTTTTCTTCTAACTTTATCGTGAAGTATCCTCAACTACCTATTGGAGGGCTATAAGTGTTCTTAATGTTAAACGTTGATAATGTGGGAGGTATTAAACAGCTTTGTGTTCTTTCTCCACAAGTGCAAAGTCCAGAAGAACACACACAGGAGGATTTTAGATTTATAATAGTAAAATGAACAAAGGCCATGAGCTGGAGAAGGTTGCAGATGGATCAGACAGCATCTGCAGGGATCTTGGAGGGGCCAGGCTTCTGGGGTGAGGTGAGAGCACCCGGAAAAATAAACTAGGGGCTTTTTAGATGGCTCAACAGGTAAAGGATCTGCCTGCCAATGCAGGAGACACAAGAGACGAAGGTTTGATTCCTGGATTGGGAAGATTCCCTAGAGGAGGAAATGGCAACACACTCCCATATTTTTGCCTGGAAAATTCCACAGACAGAGGAGCCTGGTGGGCTACAAGTCCACAAGGTCAGAAAGAGTTGGATGCGACTGAGCATGCACACACAATAAGATCTTAGATGTATATTAATAAAATGAACAAAGGCCATGAGCTGGAGAAGGTTGCAGATGGATCAGACAGCATCTGCAGGGGTCTTGGAGGGGCCAGGCTTCTGGAGTGAGGTGAGAGTACCCAGAAAAATAAACTAGGGGGGCAGTCATTCAAGGAGAGGCCTGCTCAGCATGGAGGAGTTTCTCAGCTGGAGGTAATTGGGGCTAAATGGATTCAAAAAGAGCAGGTGTGCAAGTGTGCACCTGTGTAAGCAGGAACACACTCAGAGGTCACCGTGAACCGAGCTCGTGGAGGTTGAAGGAAGGAGTGTGAGGGGTGGAACCTGTCAGATTGGGAGACTGATAGGATATTTGAGGGGCAGCTAGAAAGGCAAGGGTCAAGAACAGCGAAAACATTCTAGACTGACTTTCCCTTGTTGTGGTCATACCCCCGGGTGATGTTTCCTCAGCTCCTAATTCATCACACTTAGATTACAACTCAGCGTGTTGGTATTTTTTCCTCTGATTGTTTTATCTTCATAAATCTTCATAGCAAGTCTGTAATCTTCTGTAGAGCCCAGGTGGTGTCTTTTACTGCTCAGAATAGTCTCCCTGTTCAGAGAACTTTAACCAAAGGAAGGAATAGTCCTGAAGGCTGCACGAGAAGCATCCCCAAAATGATCTGGCCACCCGAGGAATGTCGAAAGGTGGATGTTGTGACACCACAGGTCAACACTTCCCAGAAAGGAAATCAACATACAAGCACCATCTCAAAGTCTAGCCCTCTGGGAGGAGCATCACACCCTGTGTTGCCTGGGTTCCGCTGATGGACGTTGGCCAGAAAGTCCCCATTATCATCAGACAGGACTGAAGAGAGATTTAGTAAAAGAAGCAAAGCACATAGGCACTAGATTACAAGTAATAGCTATGCAGCCCCCTGCCGACTCAGGGTCAAGTTTGCCTTGGCAAAACAGAGCTATGCCCTTGATCTGAACTTCGTTGACCATCTTTTTACAAAGGAAGAAGAGGACAGCTAGCTGAGAGGGTGTAGGAGGCAGAGGGGATTCCAACCGAGAACATGTTCAGAAGGTAAATGATTATTTTTACTGGAGAAGGTATTTAGTAAGTAGCCAACTTCCTCAAAAGCTACTATGAGAAAGATTCTGTACTTTAGAATGTATCAAATCTAGATAGAATGTTTTCCTATTAGATAGTATCTGTTTTTTCAGATTGCCCATACTTTTTGAGTATCTCCAAAAGAAACTCATTAACTTTATAATGCTTGAAGTTATTTTCTTTGAAAGTGAAAACTGCTCAGTTGTGTCCAACTCTTTGGGACCCCATGGACTGTAGCCTGCCAGGCTCCTCTGTCCATGGGATTCTCTAGGCCAGAATACTGGAGTGGGTAGACATTCCCTTCTCCAGGGCATCTTCCCCACCCACAGATGAACCCAGGTCTCCTGCGTTGCAGGCAGATTCTTTACCAGCTGAGCTACCAAATACTGGAGAGGGTTGCCATGCCCTCCTCCAGGGAAACTTCCCAACCCAAGGATCCAACCCAAGTCTCCCGCATTGCAGGCAGATTCTTTACTGTCTGAGCCTTATAAAATCATAGCATATTATTAGCTTCTACAGGTAAACCTCCTTCCTTGTGCTGCTGTGCTGTGCTAAGTCTTTTCAGTCATGTCCAACTCTTTGCAACCCTATGGACCATAGCCCATCAGGCTCCTCTGTCCATGGGATTCTCCAGGCAAGAATACTGGAGTAGGTTGCCTTGCTCTCCTCCAGGGGATCTTCCCAATTCAGGGATCAAACTCTGCTGTCTCTTATGTCTCCTGCATTGGCAGGCAGGTTCTTCACCACTAGCGCCACCTGGGAAACCCAACCTCTTTCCTTACAGAACCGTAAACCAGGGGTTGGTTTGCAAACCCTGAGCAGTGGGCCAAATCTGTTCTGCTGTCTGTGTAAATAAGGTTTTATTACAAGAATACAGCTCGGTGACTTTTTCACACATTTTCAAGGGGCTGCTTTCATGCTATAACTGCAGAGTTTAGTGCTTTCTCAACAATTGTACAGGCCACAAAGCCTAGAATATTAAGTGTCTAACCTTTTACAGGATGTTTCCTGACCATTGTTACAGATAAAATGACACATAAGAGACATGCCAACAAAATACAACCTGTGAAACTTTTCTGAATCCTGATTTGAACAAACCAAAGATGATAAAACATTTTTAAGACAGGAAAATGGACATGGGCAGATAGATTATAATAAAGAAATATTGTTAATTTCATCAAATTGGCCATATTTTTAAAAATAAATACAATGGCAACATATAAATACAATAGCAACTATTTATGCTGCCAGAAAGAAAATAATTTCCTCACATGCAATTAAGATTACAGGATAATTGGGAGCCATTAGGTGGTTCCTCCCACATTACATCAGCTTGAACTTTCAGCCTGGGTTTACTGAGATCTTAGGAGAACATGCAGGAGTTTGGGGTTAGCTATAAAGTTCATTCAGGTTTTTCCATAACATGTTACCGAAAAACCCAAACAAACTTTTTGGATGGGCCCATATTTTGGGAATTCAGTTCCTGACTTGAATAAAGAAGTCCACAACTGACCTTAAAATCGAATACATAATCACTAAAAAAAACTTTCCCATGTTAACCAAACACTCATCTATAATATTATTGCAGATGGAACAAGTTTTTTTAGTGATAAAGAATCGTTACATATAGCACTATTATTAAATGATTCCTACAAAGGGTGAACTTTTGGGATGATTAGTTACTTACAAATCCTTTCGCTTGTTTTTCTTTACCCCTTTCCACCAAAATGTCCAGCATGTAAATGAGAGGGCCCTTGGGACCCAGAATTACAGTTCACCTCCATCAGTAATATTCCTGATTGATGTTGGAGAGCAGCCAAGTAGGGACTCTCCTCCAGTTACGAATGATTCTGTGATTAAGAAATGACAAGTCCCTGGATGCAGCAGAGCAGAGCAGTTGGCCTGATGGTGAAGAAGACCTGCCACTGGCAACATCGAGGACCAGGCACCCTCCTCCTTTCCCCAGCTCATCCCCACTCACCTGGATCTCTGAGGCACATCCTCACGCTGGGGCCCAAGGATCTTCCTGGAAATAGATCTCATTCTGTCTCTCCACAGCTTAAATACTTCAGGGGCTCCCTGTTGCCCTCCGGTTCAAAGTCCTCCGTCTGCAGGGGCCTCTGTCTGCCTCCATGACCTGCCACTCCTCACTTCGTCACCCTATGGGGTTTGCAAGTCCCTAACCCCTGCACGCACCTCCCCTCCTGTCCTTTGCCCTCTGCTTGGAACACACTCCACTTCCTCCACGTAGCCTACTCCTATCCTCCTTCCTTTGAAAAAAAGAAAAAACTACGACTTATACAGACAGAGATTGCATGAAGCACATATGAAGAGTTTAGAGAAAAATTATTCAAGACAAGCATCCTGGATTCCCCCATCCCAGAATCCTTTTCTGTGCCTCTCCACAGAAA